GATTGTGGGCTCAATCCCCAGTGTGGGGTGTGCAGGAGGCAGCTGATCAATGATTCTCTCTCATCATTGATGTCTCTTTTTTCCTCTTCCTTCCCCTCTGAAATCAATAAATATATTTTAAAAAAGAATAATTTTAATCATTTTCCTAATTGGTCTGGTCCAAATTATAGCTGTTGAACAAAGAGATATATACTAGTATAAATCTTTGGAACTTTCATCCATTTTCTTGCTGCTTTGCATGTTTTGATTTTAGATCATATTTATTGAGCCTATGTACTATTTACTGTGCTACATGCTTTATCTCATTTAATCCCTACTATAATCCCATAGGAGAGGTAATATCCAACCCTATTTTACAAATGAGGAAATATGAGGTACAGACAGGGTAAATAATTTGCCTGTGGATCATACAGTTAAGCAGCAAAGAGGATACAGACTTGAAGTCTATGCTTTAGCCTTTATTCCCCTGTACCGATGGATACATGGTAAGACTTCATTAATGTCATCACTTAAAGACAGTGTAAAATTTAACCCCAAAATTGCTTTACAACAAAAGAGTTTTTGTACCAGAATGTAAATTCTTCAAGGTAAACAACAATAAGAAATGGCTGATATTGTGGCATAACAAATAATCTTTTACTGGAAGAGGTAAGAGTCCTAATTTCAGGATTTTTCATGTATATGTATGTGTGTGTGTGTGTGTGTGTGTGTGTGTGTGTATAAAAACCCAGTGGCCCTAACGCCGTAATGACCAAAGACCGGTCACCAGGAGGCTGCATGCGCGGTGAGGCGCGCGTGGGTGGCTGGGGCTACATGCACGGGGAGGTACACGGGTGGGCAGGGACTTGACTCTGGGTCTTGTGGTGCGGTGGGACTTGGGGGAGTTCTGATGCACGGCAGGGTCCGGGGCCCTGGGTCTTGCACGGTTTCCTGCAGGTCTGGTCTCACATGATTTCACGTGCTGGGTCACTAGTATCTTACTAATAAAAGCCTAGGTCAGTGGTTGGCAAACCGTGGCTCGCGAGCCACATACAGCTCTTTAGCCCTTGAGTGTGGCTCTTCCACAAAATACCACGTGCAGGCGCACACGTACAGTGCGATTGAAACTTCGTGGCCCATGCGCACAAGTCGGTTTTCGGCCTGGGCGAGTCTATTTTGAAGAAGTGGCATTAGAAGAAGTGGGGGGTGTCGGTTGGTCGGGCGATGGAGACACGGCACAGGCGGCCGCAGGATATGCAGCACAGGGGAGGTACGTTGTTCGCTGAGGTCGACCCCTTCCAACTCTCCCATCCACACTCGTCTATCTGAAACAAGTATACAAGACGAGTGTGGACGGGAGAGTTGGAAGGGGTCGACCTCAGTGAATGTACCTCAATCAAATTGAGGACGTTTTTAGCAAAGGCCAGCTTAGGAGTACCCTAATTAAGTTAATAACAATGTACCTACCTATATAGTTTAAGTTTAAAAAATTTGGCTCTCGAAAGAAATTTCAATCGTACTGTTGATATTTGGCTCTGTTGACTAATGAGTTTGCCGACCACTGGCCTAGGTGGTCCTCACGCCATCACGCTGTCACAAGATGGCTGTGCGTACAGCGGGCGCACACAGGTGGGTGGGGCTGGGCTTGACGCTGTGTGCATGAGGTCGCTGGAGGGAAGTTGACCAGAAGGTGCATTGGGGGAGTCCCACAGGGCGCCGGCCATGGGGTGGTACTCGGGGGTGTTACCCCTCAGGCTAAACATTAGGGCAAAGGGCACCACCCCACTCCACCTCCACCCAGGGGAAATGAGTGTCGGGATAAACCTGGGTAGTGGGAGCTCCAATGTCGGGATAAACCTAGGGTAGCAGGAGCTGCCCACACTCCACGTCCACCCCCCAGCATTGACCTGGGGTATGAACATGACAGAAAACCTCCCTGGTCACTGCCTGGTCCCCTACCCTGAGCTTCTCCCATCACAAGAGCAGTGATTTCATTTCCTGACAAGAGCAGTGACCTCACTACCTGACAATGGAGCCCAACAGAACGTGGAACCCTGGTAGCCAGGCAGCCACGTTCTAAAACAGCCCCTACCCAGCTCATTTGATAGAGACATTCCCATCAAGGCATGTTCTGCTGTTTGCCGCAGTCCCGCCACCGTGATAGGCAAAGAGCCAGCCAGGACAGCTTCTTCCACCGCTGCTGCTGCTGGCTCCACACTCAGCCCTGACACCTCTGGCCATTTTCACGGGGAACCTGAGGTAACCCAGGGATGCCCAGGGCGGTTTTCTTAGAGCCAGGCCACCACTCTCATCCCCCTCACCAGCCCTGTGTCCCCTGGGGCACCAGCCCTGTGGGGCTGCGGGACTCTGGAACTCAGGTGAGTCCCGTGGCCCCATGGGGCGCCGGCTTTGACACTGTGTTCCCACGGGCATTATCACAGACTCTGACAGGAGAGAGGAGGGAGCCAGATACCCGTACCCAGACTTGGCAAATAGTGATATTAAAATATTTCTTCTAATTAATTCCCTTTCAATGTGCATGAATTCGTGCACTGGGCCATACATATAAAGAGGTAATAGGCAAATTAGGCCGGGATGCCGTAATGGGTCACAACCAGACAGGAGGAGGTTGTGCACGCAGGTGAGGCCTGGAGCGGAGATGGAGACAGACACAGGGGTCCTGCCCGAGCTGGTGCGGTGGCTCTGGCAGCCCAGAGTGGACTCAGGCAGGGGGGCTGGGGTGGCCTGGGGCGGAATTCAGGCGCGGGTCCTGGCCACCGAGATGCCAGTCAGGCCTGACTCCCGTGGCAGCCCAGCACTCCACGAGTTAGGCTCCCAGCCGCCTGGGATGCAGGTCTGGCTTGACTCCTGCGGCAGCCCGTGGGGTACCTCCTTGCATGGCGGGAGGCGGGGCGCCTCCTCACGCAATTTCAATCGCGCTGGGCCTCTAGTATATATATAAAGGTGCTACCAAATAACAAGGAAAAGATATGGACATGAAAGTTATTATTTTCCCTAAATGAGTCTTCCAAATAATTTATAAAACAATCGACCTCTATGATTTTCATTACAGTGGAATCCAAACAGTCACATAAATGCTGCATCTATTTCATATTCTTTTACATTCTAAAGAGAGATGCATGAACCCAAACAATATTCACATTAAAAAAGAATCATCAAAAGCATTGTCAAGCCCTAGTTGGTTTGACTCAGGTTAGTCCTGGTGAGGATGTGGAGGATAGGGAACTCTAGTACACCGCTGGTGGGAATGCAGACAGGTGCAGACATTATGGAAAGCAGTATGGAGTTTCCTCAAAAAATTAAATATGGAACTGCCATTTGACCCAGTGATCTCACTTTCAGGATGACTAAGAAACCCAAATCAGCAATCAGAAAGAACGTATGCACCCCTATGTTCACAGCAGCACAATTTACAATAGCTAAGATCTGAAAACAGCCCACATGTCCATCAGCAGATGTGTGGATAAAAAAGGTGTGGTACATTTACACCATGGAATACTATACAGCAGTTAAAAAGAAGGATCTCTTACCCTTTGAGACAGCATGGAGGGACCTGGAGAGTACTATACTAAGCAAAATAAGCCAGTCAGAGAAAAATAAGTATCACATGATCTCACTCATATGTGAGATCGAATGAACAAAATTAACTGATGAATGAAATCGATCCAGAAGCATGGAACAGACTGTCGAATCTCAGAGGGAAGGGGTGGCTGGGTGGGAAAAGATCAACCAAAGACCTTGTATGCAATTATATGCATAACCCATGGACACAGACAATAGGGTGGTGAAGGCAGGGGGCAGGGATGGGCTAGAAGGGGTCAATGGGGAGAAAATGGTGACATATGTAATACTTTCAACAATAAAGATTTAATAGAAAAAAATTAAAATACACATATTAAAACACACAAAAAAATTGACAAGGTCATCAAAACAAGGGAAGCCTAAGAAATGGTCACAGCTAAGAAGAGTCTCAGGAAACAAGAAACAGAAAACACATTAGGTAAAAACGAAGGAAATCTGAATTAACTAAAATATGAACTTTAATTAATAACAATGTTTCAATACTGTTCAATTTTAACAAATGTACCATGCTAATGTAAGCTACTGATGAGAGAAAATGGGGTGCAGTGTATATGTGAACTCCCTGTATTATCTTCTCAATTTTTCTGTAAAATTAAAACTGCTCTGAAAAATAAAATTTATGTAAAATTTTTTTTAATTACCTTAAGGTGGTTCATGAGCCTTGGCACAGGCGTCTTATTCACATCCCCAGTTCTGAAAGCACCTTCTTTTCAGTAGTCTGGAAGTCTAACAAAATGAGATAGTTATCCTGCTAACTTCCAAACTCAACATGGAAGAATGACAAAAACTCATAAACCTCTGGTGCCTTAAAGTAACAGGAGACAGAAGGCTAGACCACACTTTTAGGGCAGGTGGTTCTTCCCCAATTATCATCACAAGCTGAATCTTCTTTTCCTTTAGGTCACAAATATCTTCTACAGCAGCAGTTAAAAAGACAAAGAGATAGTCCACCGCTCATTTTCTTAAGGCTTTTGCAGCACATCTGGTTGTACTTGCCATCCTAAGCACCTCAATTCTTTTTAGAGAAGAAAGGATGAGCCTGGGCCTATCAAACAACTACAACATTTTCTATTGCATAGTTAAAATAGCATATAACTTTTCTAAAAATACTATTATATAATCCATTTTTGTTCTATGAAGAACAATTACATATAGAATAGTAGCACCTTTACTGGGTTATTTTGACAAGTGAGCCTTCTCTCTCCCCAGCATTTAGAAACTATCTTCATTCCGGGAAACCTAGTAATTCAATGTTAACTTTATCATTTTAGGGCAAATATTGGCTTATAGTAGAGCCATGATGCGCACAAGTTTCTAATTAATCTCCTGACTCCACCTCATTTTATAACCACCATAGAGCTAAAATAACATATTTTGTTTATACTGTATAATTTCAGCACTTTAGTATACTTTTAATCTTAACTTCTGTTACTTTATCTTAAACATTACCCAATAAATGAACTTCAAGCATGAGCAAGAAGTACTGTGCACCTACATAAATGCTGTCTTCTAGCATATGTAATTGCTTTTCCCAATCTTCTAACACATGACAATGCAAAATCCACCCCAGATTCATGTTAACCTTCTACCATCAAATCCTCAATCTTTCTACCCTTCCTAAATGCCTATTAAAAGTCATGGTGTGTTGTTATCACTTTCATCACTTAAAATACTGTTTATTAATTTTTAATTCTCATCAAGATTTTATCACTATAAATCTTGAGAATAAAAACCAAACATGCTCTTTCAGTTATAGTGCCTTGTCCACATTAAATATTTTGTAGGACTTTTAAATAATTGAAAAACTAATTTGTTCTGGTTGTCGGGTCAATTATTAAATGATATTATTTTTAAAAAAAGACAAGTCAGCCTGTTGGAAACATATGCCAGAAGCAGATCATCTCCACATTTTATTACTTAAATAAAGAGATTACTTAGAATAGTAGTTTTCAAATGGTGGGTTGTGACCTCTTAATAAATTATATAATAAATTTATAAGGTGATGACAAGTATTTTTTTAAAATAATATAACAAAACATTACAGTGTTTCACACATAGTGATGGTAAATACTGATTCAAAAAAATTGTCTAAGGGATGTATATGTTCTAGATCATGATTATAATGTATTTCTTGCTGTGGGTTGCTTTGTAAAATATTGACTTAAGAATATGGTAAGGTATTCTAGGTTTTGTAAGAAAAATATTTAGCACCTTTTCTTTTTACTTTTATCTGGAGAGCAGTTTTAAATTAACAAAATGGAATTATTTGAGAAACTTCTGGCTATGAAAGCTGAAACAATTCTGTTATAAAATGTTTTTTTTTTAATATATTTTATTGATTTCAGAGAGGAAGGGGGAGAAGGAGAGAGAGCTGGAAACATCAATGATGAGAAATAACCATTGATTGGCTGACTCCTGCACGCCTCCCTACTGGGAATCGAGCTGGTAACCTGGGCATGTGCCCTGACCGGGAATCAAACCATGACCTCCTGATTCACAGGTTGACCCTCAACCACTGAGCCACACTGGCTGGGCTGTTATAAAATTTTATATGACATTTTCCAAATGCAGCCTTTCTGTGTTTTGTGCAGCTCCCGCACATTCTATTTGAGGTTCCTGCCTTCTAAATTATTTTTAAAAATGAGTTATTAGTCTCACTAACCTAGGGATTCAAGATCACAAATTGTGGCCTACTGTAAGGGTATAAAAGATTTACAAAAATGCCACTGAGCTCTAGCTGGTTTGGCTCAGCGGATAGAGCATTGGCCTGTGGACTGAAGGGTCGCAGGTTCGATTCCGGTCAGGGGCGCATGCCCGGGTTGCAGGCTCGATCCCCAGGTGGGGACATGCAGGAGGCAGCCGATCTGTGATTCTCTCTCATTATGGGTGTTTCTATCTCTCTCTCCCACTCTCCCTTCCTCTCTGAAATCAATAAAATATATTTTTTAAAAATGCCACTGATAATCATTTATTTAACAATGTCTAGCCTGACAATACCCCTGAATCCCTTGTTCATAATAGAGTAGGGTTTAGTTCTATAACACATTTTCAGAAAAAGGAACAATTAAGATAGGACAAGGAAAACAAGCACTGAGGAAAGGTTCATGGAAGAGATGACATTTAAGCTGGGGTGCAAAGAAAAATAAAATTAAAAAATAAAAAGTATGCTATATAATAAGAACCTAATATGCAAATTGTCCCCTCAGGCAATCGTTCAGACTGGGAGACCAGGAGTTGGACTGCTCGCTATGACACGCATTGACCACCAGGAGGCGGTGCAGAACACGACGGGCGTCGGTGATGCAGCATTGGCAGCAGGTGGCAGTGGAGGCACTGCTGGCCCTGATGGGCCCCAAGGAGAGCAGGACCACGGCGGATTGGTGGAGCAGGTGAGAGGGCAGCACCAGGCTAAGGTGGGTGCAAGTGGGGGCCCAAGTGCTCCATAGATGGTGACCAGCAGCGGCAGCAGGGGGCGGGGCTGCCGCCCAGCTCCTAGGTGCTGAGAGAGCCGGGGAGGAGGGGGGTAAGAGGGCTCGGTCCCAATTGGTCACCCCACAGGTGGGATGGTGGAGCAGGTGAGGGGGCGGTGCCAGGCCAAGGCGGGGTGCACTGTGGGGCTGCGGGGCTGTGAGGCTGGGGCCCAACCTCTGCAGGCCACCCCAAGGGACCCCACCCATGCACAAATTTGTGCACCAGGACTCTGGTAAAATTATAAAGCTGGATGGAACTCTACACATCATCTAATCCAGTGGTTCTGAACTGGGGTTGAATTTGTCCTGCAAGGCACATTTATCAATGTCTGGTGGCATTTTTGGTTGTCATTACTGGGGAGGGGCACTATTGGCATTTAGTGGGCAGAGGCCAAGGACAATGCTAAATATCCTACACTGCACAAGAAGCTCCCAACAGTAAATTATCTGGCCCAAATGTCAACAGTGTCAAGGCTTTCTCCGAACTCAACTTTGTTTTACTCAAGAAGGTAACTGAAGGCTAGAGGGATTTAAAAATTTGCTTAAAAGCCAAGATTATAAAACAGGCCTCATAACATCTTGTCCAGTGTTTACGTTAAAACACACACCCACGTATGTTCTTATACTAGGAAACAGCTGTTAAAAAGAGTGGTAACATCTTTATAAGGTGGCAAAACAAGCTATCTAAAAATCAAAGCTGATATTGTTAAATGGCCTTTCTTGGCTCAAAGAAAGAATTATGCTACATTAAAAAAAATTATACCCTGATTTGTTCATAATACCATATTTATCATTGATATAACTCAGTTACTGAACACATATCTAAGAATAAGAAAAGTTACAATAAAAACTAGGAAGTTAGAAGACCAGCATTTGCATGCACACCCAGTTACTCCATGGGACAAGTCTTTTAAGCTCCACCAGCTCCACCCACTGGGGATCTGAGACCTAGCTAGGATTGATTAGCATCCTTTATTCAAAATCAACTCCTGAGTTACTCTTCCATTTGCTGCGGAGCTTTCTAGTAACAAGTTAATTGTACAAAAAACTTGCTTAGAGTCCTGATTTAGGACCTAAATCTAAACATGTGAAATCACCTGAACATCTTTTCCCTGCTCTTAAATGCATAAAAGGGATGGGGATAAGGGAGTGAGGTAATAACAATAACATTGATTAGTTTTCAAAAAAAATTTTAATATATTACAGGAATACACGGACACAAATATACACGCCTTACCTCCAATTTGTCAACTGGTGAAACTTTAACTATGGTAAGTTGTCCAGTTTGACATGTGATAATTCATGATAAAAAATCTTGAAGAAAGGGCTGAAGACACTGTCCTAAAAAGAAAAAAGACCAAAGAGGTAAAATTCAAACTGTGAAAGGTTTAAAGAAGACAGCATGAACATAAGGTCACAAAAAAGAATGTAGCCATTTATACATCTTTACTACCCGAAATTTCAGCAAATGAAGTTTCTGTTGCTAAATACTAACAGGAAATTCATCTGACTGCCTGAATCAGCCTGCTCCACTTCCCAGTCAGTCACCTCTAGTACCTAAGGCAGAGCTGGCAACAACCGAGTGCATGGCTAAAGCTTTTCTGAGGTTTTGGCTTTAGGAAAGCTAGGAAGAGGAACTTTAGTTGCATCTCTGGCAAACCATTGGGGTCCCCACAGCTCCCCTTGATGTTCTAGTTATTAAATTTTAATAGGTTTGATTACAAAACTGCACCATAGCCATTAAAGGACTGGAATTCAAAGAGGTGAGCCAAGCATTCCAGAAGAAACTAGAGGTTAAACTGTATCTGACAGCCTGATAGGCAGAGGGACAAAAGGAAAACCCTCTTCCCTTACCGTCAGGTTAGGAACCTGAAGGGCTGCACCTTAGAAATAGGGGTGAACCAGAACATACACTGAATGCAAATTGGCCTTGAGTCATCTGATTGGCGCTGAAAAATCTCAAAAGTGGAGATCAGGCTAATTCATCTTGGATTCCCGCAAGGAGATGCCACAAAAAAAAAAATTCCTTTCTGGAAGACATTCTTGATCTCAGATGATTTTTTAATCAAAATTTTCAGCACACAATTAAAGATAATCAGGCAAATGAGGAGACAAGAGGACAAGATTAAAAGCTATAGAAACAACAAAAAGAGACTCACAGGCACTCCAAATATTAGAATTATCAAGCATAGATTTTAAATTATGTTTACTATGTTCAAGGAAGTGAAAACCAAACTTGATCTCAGCAATTAAATGGAAACTATAAAAAGTGATACAGCAGACTTCTAAAAGGAGCAAAAAGTAATTTTTAACTGTAAAATACAAAAACTGAAAATAAGAATTCAGTGAACAGGTTAACAGCCAATGGACACGGTGGAGACAGTGAATCAGAAGATAGGTCAGGGGGAAAAGCTCAGAATGAAGAGAGGGTAAGAAACATGAGGATACAGTGAGGAGGTCTAACATCCAACTCAGTTAATTGGAATCCCAGAAGGAAGAGAGAGACAGAAACATTATGTGAATGGCTGAAATTTTCCAAAAACAATGAAAGATGTCAAACAACAAATTTAAGGATCTAAGTGAATTCCTAAATGAAAATCGACGAAGAAAAACTTAAAAACCCCGAGGGTAGAAAAAATTAGTTTCAAAGCAACAGATGGATAGCTTAATTCTCAACAACAAAAATGGAAGCTGAAAGTTTATAATGGTCTCTATTATCCATGAATGAGTGAGATCATGTGGTATTTTTCCTTCATTGACTGGCTTATTTCACTTAGCATAATGCTCTCCAGTTCCATCCACGCCATTGAAAATGGTAAGAGTTCCTTCTTTTTTACAGCAGCATAGTATTCCATCGTGTAGATGTACCACAGTTTTCTAATCCATTCATCTAC